AGGTCATTTTCATATCCATGTGTTTCCTAGATTTGGATTTGTCTTTACTAAAGCCAGACCAGTGGTATTGGGTCCCTAGAATTAGCCCCATGGCCAACTTTCAAGCTAAAAGCTCCCAAGGCTCCCTTTTTTCAGGGTCATCTGATCTGAGAAAATTTGCGGGGGGTGGGGGGGAACATAGGATATTTTCTTATTGTAAGATTGTTTTTCTGGTCTCTGTTTTACCAAAAGAAAACAAGACTCCGAGGAAGTAGGTGACTTGTTAAGAAGTAAAAATTCATGTTTCTTCTGTTGTACCATGCTGCCATTGAGAAACTTTCATTTTCCTCTGAGAGTGAGGAAATGAAGATGCTGGGTTAGCTTTAGCTCTTCAAAGGAGGCAAGTGCTTGGTTGAATTTGGACTCAGAGAGGATAGGCTTTGCAGAGGGAGGACAGTGATGCCAGAGCTTCTGTCTCATTTCCAGGCTGGCCTCAGTTGCTATAAACTCTGGCTGCGAATGTTGCCTGCCCCTGCCTGGTTTTGCCTGAATAAGGTGGAAAGGCATCGTGAGAGTTAGTTTTAGTGGTTCTGTTCCTTCTATTGAGGCACATGGAGGGAATTTTGACTTTAGAGATAATTTGTGTTGTAGAATTTCTTGTCATGAAAGGCCTTTGGATGTGTCTAGAGCTGTTAGGCTAGAACCCCAAGAGGGGTTGAACTGCTTCTTGGGGGTCAGGTTCCTTGAAGATCTGTCATCTCTCTAGGTTTGAGAAAATAGTGTCATTACAGCCTCACTGAATGCACATGACCTTGGCATTCCCACCACAATCCCCCCAGTCCATGCTGAACTTGCTGAGTGTCCAGAAACAGCACAGAGAGTTTCATCTTCTGCCTTGTCCAGGTTCTGCTTCCTAGATGCCCCCCTTCGACTTCCACCAACATGTCAAGATAAGAGAAAGCAGCCTGGGGAAGTTAGGACTGAAGAGACTGGCCAACTGTTTTTGGAGTTTTTCAATTACGTGCAGGCTTGGTTTTAGTGAACTAGAGGTTTACCTGGTGCTCTGACATCACCCAGAATGTCTGGATTTTGCCCCAAAGTTGATATTTTACAAGGCAAAAATTCTGTGACCTACTAACTACCTCCTGGGGGAAAGAGAGGCAGCTTTATAGTTAAACCCTTCGTTTGCCCTTTGAGACAGATAAGCTGTGGTGAGAATTTTGAAAACCAAATTCTGACTAGTGGCTCCTCTTCTTGAGTTAATGAAAACAAAGTTCTCTTTGACCATCCTGCTTTTTAGTCTGTGCCAGATTGATTCAGAGAACCCTGGCTGACCAGACTGTGCATTGCCGGCGTGTCAGGTGATTTGTAATTGCTTCATATGGGTGTTGATTTTATAAGTCAGTCATTGCTAGGCTCCAACTCGAAAGTTGGTTTAAAAAAACATGCATCTGCAAGTTTTCTGTAGTCCTATTGTATCAAGAATCCATGGAAAGTTTGGGTCAGTAACACTGACATGTGTTTTTCACGGAAAGACTAGCAGAGTTTCATATTTGACTGGTTTGGAATAGTGCTTTAGTATTTTGGACCTGTTTTTGTTATTGTGGTCTTATCGGTGAACAGAGATTTATTGAGCATCTTTTTTATGCCAGAGCCTTATGCCGAGCTCTGGGGAAACCACCGTAAATAGGACAGTCCTTGTTCTCAAGGAACGTATAATTCTTTAGCCAGGTGCATATTAAGAGGAAGAGGGTGAAAGGAGTGGTTTGTAACTAAGAGCAGTTGGCAGTTACCACAGATTATGGGTGCCTCACCCACCCATAGAGCCAAAGCGTTTTCTTCATCTAAAAGGACTTTCTCAACACCTGCTACTCTTCTAGTTCTGAGAGAAGTGTCCGGCTGTTAGAATCTGTGACTAGTCTGGCTTCCTCTCCCTCTATTTCACATATTCTTTCTTCCCCATAACTATGTAGTCCAGGAGTCACCCCTTCTCTGTTTCCCTTTCCTCGGTTTCAGTTATCCGTGGTCAACCGAGGTCTGGAAGCAGATGATCCTTCTGACATAGGGTCGGAAGGTCAGTAGTAGCTTAATGCTATGTCACAATGTCTGCGTCATTCACCGGGCTCCATCTCATCACGTGGACATTTTATCACCTCACGTCATCACGGGGTGAGTACAGTCCAATAAGACACTTTGAGAGACTCCACGTTCATGTAACTTTTATGACAATATAATTTTTCTATTTTATTATTGTTAATCCCTTACTGTGCCTAATTTATAAATTAAACTTTATCATGTACGTATAGGAAAAAGCATGTAAAGGGTTCGGTACTCTCTGTGGCTTCAGGCATCCACTAGGGATCTTGGAACATATCCCCTGTGAATAAAGGGGACACTTATATATCGGCTCCTCCTCTGAATAAGGCTGTAATTGATGGGAAAACAGTAATAGTCCCAATAAATGATAATGGATGTGAAACTATTCAGCACGATGCTTCATACATATGAGGCGCCCAGCGAGTGTCATTATGTCATGACATCATGGGGAGACTGTAGGCAAACTAGGTACTTCATCTCTGCTCCTTAAATGCTGGAGGCCTGGGCAGTGGGTATATTTCTTGAAAATCATGATCCTGTACTTTGTTGCCTCTGGAATTTAACAGTTCTTTTTTTTTTTTTTTTTTTTTTAAGTACCTACTGGATATAATTGTGGCCATTAGGTGATGCAGGTCATTCCACCTATTTTAAAAAAAAAGAACAAAGTTGATTTTCTTTTGGTGGTGAATTTTAAAAGAAAAAATGATTTTCTGTCTTCACCTCAGAATGGTGATGCTGGTTACACTTTCCCAGTTTGTCTCCTTAAGGTATAGCTCCTCTACAGGCTCCACAGGCCAGACATTCCTTCTTCCCTTTTCCGAGTGAAACACACTGGCTCCGCGCTGCGTCTGAGTCGGCGCAGCTCTCAGTGGTTGGGGTTTGGGAGCCTCTGGCGCCACGACTGTGTTCTGAACTGGTCTGCTAGGTCTTGCGTGAGGGTGCCACTTCGTGACGGTAAGAAGAGACACTCACTGGTGGGTTTTTTTAAACTTTCTTTTTTGAATTACTTTTTAAAAAGAAATCTACTGGTTAGATTTATTAACTCACAAAAATGTTTTTAGAGATTATTTTGTTCATAAATATTTCTTTCTCATGCTGATCAACTGATTTTTGTCTACAAATGTTGGCTTATCACAGTATTTTTCACTACAGATCCTATTTACGAAATGACCATTTTAGTGTTTTAAAAGGTACTAAGGATTGAGATATATAAATCAGGTGACATAAACATGAAAATTATGTGCCTAAATATTTTTGTAAAGGTGTCAAATAAATACTTTTTCCTGAACACATGTATTAACATTCCTTTCTAAGTGCATGCAAGGAGCCAGAAGTCTGCCCACATTTAAGAGGATGGCATCCAGGTGACTGAAACCTTGTTATACAGTTTGTCATCGTGATACTGTGATTTATGAGAGAAATTTGTATCTGGCCTTCGTCCCTGTTCCTGGCACATAGTTCCTAAAACTCTTGTGCTTTATAACAAAAGATGTTCCTATAGCGCTAAAATTTTTGTTCTGAGTTGTTGAAAGTTGAAACAGTTCCATAGCCATAAAGATGAAATGGGAGTTTTTTATTATTCATAATGAGCCTCTTTCAACCAACTGCACCTGAGTTTTTAATGAGGTGACCTTTGGAGAACCTGAAAGGATGGGCAGGAGCTGGTTGTGGGGGGAACCAACCACAGTGATGTGTGTTGGCAACTTTCAGGCTGCTCCCCTTACCCTCCTAGGTGAAGGGGAGAGGTTAAATCAGTCACTGATGGCCAGTGATTTAATCAATCATGTCAACATAAGGAAGGTTCCATAAAAATCCCTGAACTACAAGATTTGGACAGATTCCAGGCTGCTGAACGTGTGGAGGTGTTGGGAGGGTGGTGCTCCCAGAAAGGGCCGGAAAGCTCCACGCCCCTTCCCACATATCTTGCCCAGTGCATCTCTTCCATCTGGCTCTTCCTGAGATATATCCTTTTGTAAGAAAGTGGTAATTTAATAAATAAACTGTTCTCTTGAGTCCTGTGAGCTACTCGAACACGGTATTCAAACCTAAGCAGGTCCTGGGAACCTCTGGTTAATAGCTGGTTGGCCAGATGCTCAGGTTAACCACCTGGACTTGGGATTTAATTGGAAGGGGCGCTGGGGGGGGGGCAGTGGCAGTAATAGTCATGTGAGACTGAGCCTGTGAGTCTTCTGGGAACTACAGGACCTGATGCTAACTCCACACAGTATCAGGACTGGGTTGTAGCTGACACAGCCGGTGTTATGGATTTGCTTGGTACATAGTAGAGTACTGAGAGAAGACACAGGAGGAATTTTTCCTTTATAACCGTACAAGTATTTTGTATGAATAGCACATAGGATTAAATACCCAGTGTCTCTGGCATACTTGTGCTAAATTCAATGGAAAGAAATGCTAGTCTTTCTACTTCTAAAAATATTTCATCTGCTTAATCAGGTGTCGAAACCTCTAAGTAGCTTGACCAGGAAATAACCCTAAAATAAAACAACACTCAAGAGAGGCATTTTGGTACAGGCAGACTCAACAGAATTAGGAGTATGTTAAGGCTTAAAAACAAACTGGCAAAATATCTATAAGAATAAAATTTACCATCTTAATCATTTTTAAGTGTACAGCTCAGTAGTATTAAGTATATTCACATTGTTGTACAACCAGTATCTAGAACTTTTTCATCTTGGAAAACTGAAATTCATACCCATTAAACAGCTCCCCATGTCCCCCTTCTTTCCAGGCCCTGGCAACCACGATTCTACGGTCTATGAATTTGACTACTCTAGATAACCTCATATAAGTGAAATCATACAGTAGTTGTCTTTTTGCTCCTGGCTTCTTTCCCATAATGTAATGTCCTTGAGGTCCATCCATGTTGTAGCATGCTGTTATAATTTCTTTCCTTTTAAGGCTGAATAATATTCCATTGTATGTATATAGCACATTTATCCATTCCGTCTCTTGATGGACACACTGTACTGCTTCCACCCTTGGCATTGTAAATAATACTGCAAACACTGGGTGTCTTAATCAGTTTGCTGTAACAAATTACTATAGAATGGGTGGCTTAGACAACAAACGTTTATTCTCACAGTTCTAGAGGCTGGCAAGTTCAAGATCAAGGTGCTGGCAGATCTGGCGTCTGGTAAGAGCCTGCTTCCGGGTTTGTGGGATATCCGTCTTCTCTTATCCTCACCTGATGGGAGAGCAGAGAGGACGTTTTGTCTTGCCTGTTCTTATAAAGACCCTAATCCTATGAGGGCTCTACCCTAATGACCTAACTACCTCCCAAAGGCCCATCTCCAAATACCATCACACTGGGGAACAGGGTTTTAACACACAAATTTTAGGTGGGGAGAACACAAAATCTGTAGTGGGGTGTGCAAAGGTGCTCTCAATTCTTTTGAAATTGCTGGGTCATTTGGTCATTCTATTTTTATTTTTTAATTTTTTTGAGGAACTGCCATACTGTTTTATATTGTGGTTGCAGCATTTTACATTTTTTAAAAATTTTTTAAAGATTTTATTTATTTATTTGACAGAGATCACAAGTAGGCAGAGAGGCAGGCAGAGAGAGAGAGAGGAGGAAGCAGGCTCCCTGCCGAGCAGAGAGCCCGATGCAGGACTCGATCCTAGGACCCTAGGATCATGATCTGAGCCGAAGGCAGAGGCTTAACCCACTGAGCCACCGAGGTGCCCCCAGCATTTTACATTTTAACCAGTGTGTACAACAGTCCCAATTTCGTCACATCCGTGTTAAGACTTACTTTGTTTTACTGAAAGTAGCCATTTTCATTCTTGTGTCCTTTGATGCAGTTTTAAATTTTGATGTAGTGCAGTTTTTGTGTTTGTTGACTGTGCTTTTGGTGTTATATCCAAGAGGTAATGGGCTAATCCATTGTCATGACGTTTTCCCCCTATATTTTCTTCTAAGAGTTTTGTAATTTTACGTCTTATATTTAAGTCCTATATCCATTTTTAGTTTTTGTATATGGTATAAGGGTCCAACTCCATTCTTTTGCGTGTAGCTTTACTGACATCGTTTGCTGAAGAGACTTCCTTTAAGGCACGTTTTAATCAAGTTCTAAAATTCCTTGTCGAATTTGACTTTATAATTTGTGAGATAAATGCATTTTCATTTAGCCCTTTGGCTGGTTTCTCGTCTCACCTTGCCTTCCCCGCACAAAGCTGACATTACTGGGGAGCACCAGACAAGAGGCACTGCTGAGAGGAGCAGAGCACAGAGCTGGTACCTTCATGTGTCCATAGCAGGTGAGCAGTTACTGGGTACAGCCAGGACTTCCCTACAGCTCTCATCACAGTAGTTGTCCACCCATTCATCAAGCTAGACTGAGTTCCTGGGGCTGGCAGCCAGCCCCTAGCAGAGACCCAGCAAAACCGTATTTAACAGATGGAGCTGAGTAAGGTAAATTGTCCAGTGTGGTTGTGAAACCCACATTCAGATCCGTCAGCTGGGCTCGAAACACCTTTGGTCTTCACCAGCACAGTAGGTTGTCTTTCCAAGTCTGTTTGTAATAGCCTTGGTGGTTACCGAACTCATCATCCCTGTATGCCTGTCGAATGCCATTCTTCCTTCACAGTTTATACGCCATGGATTTAAAGCTTTGGACATGAGCTGGTAGCTTGTTAACTGCAAAGGTAAAGCAGACACGCCTTTCCAGCCTTACTGATGGGGCCCTCTTGTGGCAGCAGTGGCCATTGGGGGAATAGACGATGGAAAGCAGTTTGCATGAAAAGCAATTTACTGAGGGTCTGCTGTGTTCTTTCATGGAGTTAAACCTTCACCGTGTCTTTTCAAATTACAACTTTACTATTGCACAAATAGTGGTTTAGGCAGAGCTAAGGAATTTGTACAGCCTCCTTCAGCTGATAAGTTTAAATATGGACTTTAATTCTAAAATCTTTTCTTCCCAAAGAATTCCAGATAATATCCCTATATTAGAATGCCAAAGGAGAATTGTCATCAGGAATGCCTCATTATGTGTGCTTATTCTTCAGGTAATTTTTTCCAGTGTAATCTTTTTTTTTTTTTTTAAGATTTTTTAAATTTATTTATTTGACAGAGATCACAAGTAGGCAAAGAGGCAGGCAGAGAGAGAGGGAAGCAGGCTCCCCGCCGAGCAGAGAGCCCAATGTGGGGCTCAATCCCAGGACCCTGAGATCATGACCCGAGCCGAAGGCAGAGGCCTTAACCCACTGAGCCTCCCAGGTGCCCCTCCAGTGTAATCTTTTGAGAACAAGCTCTACAAATGACGCCAGAATGATGAAACTATCGGAGATATAAAACTGTATAAGAGGACTATTATCCCAAGAATGGTAGAAAGAAGTTCCTTGGAGAAATGACATTTGAGCTGATTCCTGAAGGACAACTAGTATTCAACCGAGGAGATACTGGAAAGGACAGCCCTCTAGCCTTCTAGCCACCGTATCTGCTTCTGTCTGGGATGCATCCCCCTTTGTCTTTATAGCAAGCAGATGCCCTCACTTCAGCGGGCCTTCCCCGACAAGCCTGTCTGAAACTGCGCCCCACCGTTGTCCCTATTCCTCTCTTGGGTTTTATCTCTGTGGCATCTGTCCCTTTTGATGAAATTTAAGCTTTGTGGAGTCACAGATACTGGCCTGTTCTGTTCACTGCGGTATCCCTGGCACCTAGAAACAGCCGCGCTGGGCACACTGCGGGTACACCATAGATACTTACTGAATGAACACATCTAGACAGAGTAGCCGATTACTGGCTATATTTTGTAAACATAGCACAGCAGAAATATGGCCTCGTCTTCATTTTAGAAAGATCATGCCAGCTGCAGTACTGGGATTGTCGGTCAGGAGTTGACAAATTCATATCTTACAGGCAGGTAAAAAGTGTGAATGTGAATGAATGCAATCAACACTTAACAGTAGTTAGTGGTAGGGCCTGTGGTACCTACCGCTTAAAGGCATTCAAATTAGAACAAAAGAAAAAAGTCGCCAGGCACCTTTGGCCTGCGGGCTGTTGGTGTGCCTAAACGACACAAACAGGATCACTGAAGGTGCTGTGCGGATTACTGTCCGGTTGGGGAGCGGGAAAAGAAAGGCAGAGGACTGTTAGATCAATACATCAGCTACAGAAAACTGCTGTACAGTCCTGGTGAGAAATGATGGGTCCTAAAGTGTAGTTGTGAAAGCAGAGAATAAACATCGAGTTATTTTAGGAGGTAGAATTAACCGGTGATAATGAAATCAGTTTCTAATTTTTGTTTATAATTAAGGCTGTGGTGAATTTGCCTTTTGCCTAAGTCTGTGATACTCAGGGAGACGGACTGTCCGAACTCCAGGAGACTAAAGATGAACATTTTAAAGGTATTTAACTTGGGTTTCCAGTGTTTTCCAAAAAGGTAGTATTTGAAGTAGAACAAACAATACTTGCTATGCCATAGTAAAAATAATTTACTAAGCATTTGCTACCTGCTAGCTAGGCAATTTTTTCTTAATACCTTACATATATTGATACATTTTAATCCCTTAAACCGTCCTTTAAAGTTAAGTTTTATTATCCTTATTTTAGAGGTAAGGAAACAGGCACAGAAAGTTTCCATTATTGAACAAGTGGTGATTGTGAAGAAGTATTTTCTTTACAGAATGTAAGTTTGCCTTGCTGTCTGGCCTACTTTTTGCTCTGAGTCCATAGAACCTTCTAGAACAAGCAGTGCAGTGTAATATTTGAGTATGGAGGAAACATCAAATTACTCAATTCTTTTAGATTAAGTCCCCATCTTACCACCTGGAAGGTAATTCAATCCCGATCCTTCCCTAAGGTTAACCCAGATTCAAGGGAATTGCACAGTGCCTGGAAAATAGAAGAGGGATCTTCTTTAGTCCTTGATGGTCACTGCTTAAGTACTTACTTAATTGACTGTCTCCACAGTATCCTTTGAAGGCAAGTGGCATTGCAGATTCCAAACTTTGGGACAATGATGCTTGCTACTACCGGAAGGTCTCAAGGCCTGGAGTCCAGCATGTCCTACAGCCCCTGCAACCATTCCTCTGAGGTCTTGCTAGAGAAAGAACTCACTCACATTCTATTCTTCAGAACCTACTGACCAGCTTTTTCCCAATTTGAGGGACTTTCTCCTTTCCAGAATTCAGACTTGAAGGGAAAAAAGGGCAGAACAGGTTGTCTGCAAATAGCATCTGCTTTCTGCCCCGCAACACACACCTTCCCTGAACACAAAGGTCAAACTTAGGAAACTAGGTGAACAAATGCAGACCTTTGGAAAGTGTGTCTTTCAACTTCCCAAGACAGCTGAGTTTTCCCATTTGTAAAAATCTGTAATGTTGTGAGGATTGGTTTATAATGAGTGTTTAGCACAGTGCATATAACAGGAATTATTCATTAATGGCATATGATAGTACTTGCAGTAGGCTTGTTTTCGCTCCTAAACGAACCTTTCTTTGTAATCAACACATGCTCCTTTTGAGGAAATGCCTCTTCCCCAACTGCTGAAGCCAAATGAATCCAAAAAGAGCTGCCGCCTTATGACAGCCACTTCCCTAGCCGTGATGATGGGTTGGCTCAAGGGTGGGTAGTAATTCACTTCCATGGACACAGGGACTGATGAGCCAATGTTCAAGCTCAAGGGTTGAGCTCAAGGGTAAAGCCCCAGTCTCTAGCCATGAATACAGAATTATAAAGTAGTAAGTACCATGGAGGAAAAGGACAGAGGAATTGGACCTTGCCTAAGTAGCCGAGTTTGAGGTTGTCAGACAAATCCTTTTTCCATTTTGGGTCTTAGGTTTTCCCCTTCTGTGAAATGAGGGGACTGTGTGGGAGGCTCCAGGTCACATCTGGACTTTGACAGGCTCCTCTCATCAGTTGCTTCATTTACAGGGTACTTGTTGGCGCTTTAGAAGTCCCAGGGTCTGCAGGGTTCTGCTGGAGCTGCGTACATATCAAAACACACCTGCTGGTTTATGTCTGGCTTTCTATTTACAGGTCTCCTTGCCAGTTACCTAGCAAAGTAGAGGAAATTGGACTCAGCTGCCAAGTGAGCTCTAGCAAAATTTGAAGGCTACTGTAAGTGTATGATTCTGAAATCTAAGTTTTTTTTCTTGAGTTTGTTGTCAAACTCATTTAGTAGCAATATCTGACCTGGAATGTGTGTGAATATGAATACATTTTATGGTGGACAAAAGTTTTTTACCATAGGTTCTAGACCTGGCTATGGATGTTCTTTAAAACATAGTACCCCTCTAAAGTCTAAAGAATTCTGGCCACAAGAATTTTAGATAAGGGACTGTAGACATGTACTACTACTACTACTGGATCTTTACCTAGGGTAGGGCTCTCTAGCAAGATTTCTTTGTGTGATTTTTTTTTCTTTCTTACATATGATTTTCAAATCCCAACACAGCCCTGTGATACTGGCCAAGTAAGTTTCATCCTTACTTTACAGATGGGCAGAGTTCAGGTGTTTATACTGTGTTTTTAAGTGCAAGTCCCTGTCTACCAAACACTGGCAGACAAATGCAAACCGTGACAGACACAGTAGAGAGGCCACATGGCAAAGCAGTTCATGAAGCTCATAACGCAGGCTGTTTGGAATAACCTGTCATCCAGATGAATTTCCACCAACCACAACTGTACGTGCAGAAGGGACTAATGGAATAGCCATGCTCAGAATGCCGGGCACGAGCTCCTAGCCAGAACATGTCCTTATGTGCACTCAGCTAAAGCACAACTACTGACAGAGGAGGAGTCAAGTATTAAAAAGTCCCTTTGGGAGCAAGCTTTCACTAGATCTTGATTTTCTTTTCGGTCAGGAATTTATGGTGACTCAAGTTAGCCTGATGCCACTCTCTGGATCGCTTACAGTTCTAGGAGAAACCACTCTAGGATCCAGATTGCCTCTGTTGTCTTTAAAAAATTTAAGTGTAGGGGCACCTGGGTGGATCAGTCAGGTAAGTGGATTTCAGATCAGGTCATGACCTCAGGATCCTGACATCAAGCCCAGCATTCGGTGTCAATTCTCTCTCCTCCTTTCCCTCTGGCCTTTCCCACCTCCCCTCAAAAAAAAAAAAAAAAAAAAAAAAAAGTTTAAGTGTATAGTCCTTAAATTAATCCAGAGTTCATCTTCTTTGAGAGAGAAAAGGGCAAAACTATGTATTTTAGAACCCCCTGAACTAAGTTCTAGCTGGTGTATAGAAGGACACAATTAGCCCATGCTACAGTCAAGCATTCATGCTAATGGTAACAGCAGAAAGTGAATGTTTTAGAACCAGGCCAAATTTGCGTTAGTTCTCTCCCTTTTCCCAAACTTTAGGAAATCAGGAGACTCCCTACTCTTACAGTAGCACTCCCTGGACGGGAGTGAGAAACAGGATGACTCCTGAATGATCCACAGCCGTTTTAATTAGTGCTGCAGTAAACGTTAAACAGTCTTGGGGAAATTGTACATAGATTTCATGTTGCTTAATTTCTAACCAAAATATTAAGCTCAAGGAAGATCTTATTTAGCTAAATTCTATGGCACAAAGCCTAGTAAATGGTTTCCTTCGTGTTGTACCTACTGTTTCTTTCCTTTTGCACCCTCCGTGCTGAGCATACACTTCTACCCACAGCTCTTACCTGCTAACGCCTTCTCTTTGATGAAGAGAATGTGCTGCAGGTCTCTGAAGCCACAGGCCAAGCACAGTAGCTGTACAAGCATAGGCCCAAATACTGGCTGGTAAGAGGATATATGCAGACTTGTCCCTGCTGACGTTTCAGTGTGAAGAAGCCTTTATTATCAATTTGCACAGAGAATGGAGTTCAGCCTCCAGTTTATGTGGCAGTTCTTCAGTGTCCTTCACAGAATAGGTAGCCATTAAGATGGTGTTCACATTTCTTAACAGCAAGCAAAATGACATTTTAAGCATATCATACATCCTAAATAAGTCATAGGAACTAGTGTGAAAACAAGTGAAGATAAAAAAATCATGGTCAGAAAAGGAAAAACTCATGTACTTACAGATGTCAAAAGATGTCAGCGGTATACTAAGGGCACTTAATAAATGAGGTTATGGAAAACTGATATAGAAAATGAGGCTACTCCATCAGCCCATGACTTGGGGGTATGACCCTGTAAGATTTTGCAAAGGATAAACTTGATTCTTGAAGGCCTGATTTTATGATTTAAAAAATTAATCAGTGGAATTATTTAATACAGAAAGAAAAAGGTCATTTTTAGAATAAAAGTCTTAAAATTTAGAAATTCTTGTTCTTCCCCACATAGGATTTTCCACCATGTCAATTTTCATGACTACGAATTAGGTATGGGAAGCTTATTTGTGTTTTGGCACTTGGCAGTGATACAGAGCCAGTGAGTCAGTCACACGCCTCCAGGATCATCAGCGTACACCTCCTCTGTGGAAATTCACCAACCCACACTTAGAAAATGCCCACTCTTAATTTTTCATTTAGAGAAAAGTAAGTATTGTGACAATAGTGTTTTACAAAATATTATATATGAACTATACTACAAAAGATAGGGAAAATTTGTAATTACATAGTTTAGAGAAAGAAAATTGGGTGAATAGAGGTCCACAGACCAAAGGATCTCTCTGGAGGAAACAAAAATACATCACCCAAGATGAAGTGAAAGGGACCAGAAGCCACTCAAACACTAGTTCATGGGATATATCTAGGAGAAGGAACAAAAATTATGCATATTTGCATTGTGAACAGTATGTATTATACAAACTTAAAATCTGTAACTAAAACCTAGTGAATCAATCTAATGAAAATCATTCACACGGTATTATGTAGACAAGTATGTTTAAAAAAATATTTTAATAAGCATATTCAGAATGGCAGACAGGGAATGGGAAAAGGGAATTATTTTACAGTGCAAAATTACTATGCATAAACTTAAAAACATCTAATTCATAATTTTAAATGCCTATTTAAATATTCAAATACATCTTAAAGCTCAACAGACTTGTGTTGAACTGAGTTGCAGATTCTGAACTCTATTTGAAAACACATTATGAAACAGAATACCATTTCAGATGTAAATGATAGTGCTTTGCTGAGGATGGGCATGGGGTGGGGGAAACTATTAACAAAGGCTTTTTTTCCCAATGCAGTTTGTTAAGAGTTCAAGAGTTATGAAAGGTACTAAATCTTCAAGCAAATTAAATTCATGATATTACTAAAAATTTTAAAGTAGTGCAATGACTTATCAAGTTATAGTGGCTGCATTATGAAGAACAAAGTACTGTGTGAAATACCTGTATAAACACAAAATACAATTAAATATTTCTTCACAAAAAGCTGAGCATTATGTATTCTAATAGTGGAATGTCTTTCATTAGGCATACTTTAAAAAGATAAGATTAAGAAAAGTAAAACTTCCTAAGACGTATACATGTGCCATATTTTGCAAACATGCCTGAGAATGTACTAAAAATGTTCCTGTGGTATTAGTTTCCAAGAACTTCACAAACCTGCAAACAAAATGCATCTTTTAAAAAAAAGGGAAAGATAGCATCTTTAGTATTGCAACTTAAAAATACAACATCACTCTTCATTTGAAACACTTCTATAGACCATCTTTGACAAAGAGCTAGGAGCCAGGATACTTCGGATTTGTGTAATAAAAACTGATTTAGAAAATGGATTGTGACCATCTGCTAAAGCTGCCATTCTGGATAAATTAATTTTGTAGGTAAAGCAAAACAAAACCAACAAAAAATTCACGCTTCTCAACACTTCCACCCAAAACTTTGATTTATCTAGATATGTATGTAACAGTGAATGTGCATTAAATGAAGTCAAGTGTTGTAAAGTGGCATTTTAACACTGTTTGGGGAAAAGAGTTGTTCACATTGGTGGAAGGAAGCAGTCTGAACATATGTTAATAGTAATACTTCATGGGGTAAGGCCTAAACCGTAACTTCTCAGTGCAAACCTCTACTCAATTGCATGAAACAGCTGAGCCATTAAAAATAAGACCACAGAAGATTTATTTTAAAAAGGCATTGGCTCTTGAACTGATGGCTGAAAATGAGTCAGTAGAAGCATTTGGGGTATGCCTGTATGAAAAAACAAGAATAGTTAATAATCTTTTATAAAAGTCTGGATATAGGTTGGTCTATCAGCTGTATAAAACTACATTTTTAACAAGAATTTTGCACTAAAAATAAAATGGCACTCTTGCAAGGCTATGCAAATGGATGATCCTGTTTGTAATCATACAGAGCAATGGTACATCTGATTTTCACCTTGGAAATACACTCACTTCATCACTTTTTCCTCATAAAATCAATATTATCTGCCAACTCCTTGTGTGTGCCAACATCTAAATATTGCTTGACCTTTTCCCCTGTTTAGTTAATGCAAAAATGGGAAATTTTATAATGCATATAAAAATAACCGAACAGGATTCTGGTCAGCATGATATATTGAAGCACTTAAGCCAACATTAAACTTTTGTCTTGCTTCAAAAATAATTCTGAAAATTAAAGCAAACGCAAAACAAACTATGTAATCTAGGTATCATGCTTAATTTCAAAATTCTCAAACTATTTGTCCCTAAGTAGAAATTTGAAAAAACAAATTTTCACAATCCTTTATGAATGCGATTTTACCACCTGTATAAGAAACATGACTTAGTTACTACACAAACACTTAAAAATTCATTAGAAAAACCTTAGCAAAATAAAATGAAAGCTGACAGACTCAGAATATCAATTCCTCTCATAAAAGTTTACCAACTGTACAAGTTAAGAAAATTATACAAGCTTTTGTATTAAGAAAGGACAGCTCAGTCAAGACATATGTACTGTAAAAATCTTTCAAAGGCTACAAAGAATCTGGAAAAATACAGAATGTATTTCTTAAGCCCAGATAAGAATATGGAAAGACATCATTGATGTCAACAATTTTACATATACAAACCTGACTTGGTTTATTTTTAAACTTCTATATATAAAAAAAATCATGCTAGCATAACTTTCAGGATTCATAAGGGTTTCCTTAATAATGACACTCAATTTGTATGGAGAGAAAAATTTCTCTTATAAAAGATAAAGACATTTCAAGAAACACAGAAAAACTGGTGTTAAACAAATTTGAATGTGGTCTTTTTCTTCTCTGCCAACAAACTAAGCAAAAAATACCTGTAGTGAGCTTTTAAGATTAATACATCAAATGAGAAGGTACAGATATTTCCGTAGTTCATTCAAATTGACTATACTATTTGTTATATCCTTAAAAGGGTCTTTACACTTTTAAAGTAAAAAGTCTACAAAGGGCAGAATTACGAAATCTTATTTACTAAAGTTAGGAATCAATTCAAATTTTCAAAATTTTAACCAACTGCTTCAAGGAAATCAACTTTTTAAGGTAACCCATCAACCCTGAAAATTTTAGTCACACCAGATTTTACTTCAAAGAAGGTAAAACAAGTCTAAAATTTAGTCATCTGTGTTTTCAAGTTCTTCAAATTTTCCATGTGACATTGCTTCTTGGAAAAATTCAGAAGAACCTGGACTTTCTTTTCCATTGCTGTTTACCCTTCGCCTTTTGGCAGGTCTCTCACTTTTTTCATCAAAATCATTTTCATTTCTTGCAGTCATATGGGCAAGTTTTGGGTCAGTGGTACGGTTATCTGTTTCATAACCATTAGTATCCATATCTGCATGAAGTGGTCTCTTATTTCCACCTGTTGGTCCATTAACATGTAACCCTTCAACTTTGATTTCTTCTTTGTTCAACATTTCACCTGGTCCATTAGATGACACCCCTACATTGGAAGAAACGTTAAGTGAAACTACTAGTATTAAAAAGCTAACTTTTACACTATTCTAAGACCGCTATTGTAAAACACCTTTACATCAAGGATGAGAGGTGTCAAATCTATGTACATATGGTCTGAACTCTGGCTCTATTTACTGAGTGTGTCACTTGGGCAAAAGTTACTTACATTCTTTGTATCTCAGTTTCACCACATATACAGTGAGGGTAATAAAAGACTTACCTTACAGGTTTGTTATTAAAAGTTAATAAATGTAAAGAATTAAGAACAGATTCTGCCATATATTAGGAGCATGCTGGTGTTATGTAACAACAAATAAGCACTGGGTCCAGTAGTCTAAATAAGCTAAATTAAAGCAAAAATATGCACAAATTAGCAAAATGGTAATACCTTTCTAAAACTATGTAAAAAAAAAAATCGACATTCTTTAGAAGCTTGAGTTTTCTACTGCCATATAAAATAACATGACTTTTATTCTTTTTTTTTTAAGATCTTATTTATTTATTTGATAGAGATTACAAGTAGTCAGAAAGGCAGACAGGGAGAAAGGAGGAAGCAGGCTCCCCGCTGAGCAGAGCGCCCGATGCGGGGCTCGATCCCAGGACCCTGAGACCATGACCTGAGCCGAAGGCAGAGGCTTTAACCCACTGAGCCACCCAGGTGCCCCCATGACTTTTTTTTTTAAATTTATTTTTTTTAATAAACATATAATGTATTTTTATCCCCAGGGGTCCATGACTTTTATTCTTAATGTAAGAATAAAGGTATTGTGCTTTAAGGGTAAAGATCATACATTTACCTAAATGGATTTAAGTAATCTGTCACAATGTTCAAAAATTAACACTTGCTTTGTCCAAACATACATTTGAAAGTCATAAAAGCAAACATAAATTCC